CGTAGTGGCGTAAATAATGCGTGTGTGGCTTATACAATGACTTGCGGTGGCCAGCCGATGTACAAATCAGTGCTTTTATCCTCCCAGACGAGTCTGGTACCAATTCACCGATCCCGGAGGGATGGAAGGCTTGGTTGGCCTAGGCGGGCATCGATCCGGGATTCGAACCCCTGACCGTGCGTGTGATATAGTGCGCCACTTGCCACTACACCATCTCCGCCCTGTTTTGCCCTCCTTTTCAAGAGTAATTGCCTTTCTTTTTGTACGGGTTGAGAACAGTGGGTTCACATAAAAGGCACAGTCCACGGTCTGTGAGATACATCCCCTCTCCAAACTCCTAGGATGAACCTGTAGCCTCAAAGAATAGCACGTGCGACATTATGGTGTCGAAAAACGAACTGGACAGGGAGTTACAGGGCGTCTGGAACAGGCTTGATCGACGCCTACACCTATGAATGGTCTTGTTATGACGCCCTTGTTAAGGCTATGACATTCTCTATGGAAGTTAGGACGTCGATAAATGGTCTTTGTAAAAGACAGCCAGACGGTTACAGGCGCATCGTCTAGTACAACCTCATTTCTCACTACTTTCTTCAAGCCACATATGTGTGTTATTTTTGTCCTTTTCTCCATTTTTGCACTATTATCCACCATCGTTGTTGCCATTACTTCATCTAATCTATGTAACACAGAATTGTCTGAACTAGGCCTTCTAAAAATATGGTGATCATAGGTTTTGAAAGCTCTCAACAAAATGCTGGGATTATTTAAAGAAGAACTTCGAGAAGATCAAAAGCCCTTTGAAGTACCTACGTCACTGAAAATTCAATATAACTGGAAAAGCAAAGAGTTCTGTCATCATGGTCACGGGTTCGAATCCAGGATCAATACCCGGCCGGGCTAACCATGCCTTCGAACCCTCAGGAGTAGGTGAATTGGCACCAGATCCATCTAGAGGGACAAAAGCACTAACTTGTACATTGTATAGAATACATAAGTAGCGGTCAAAAATCTTCGGTGAAAGGTCGAAGTGTCAGACCTGACCTTGAACTAAATCAATCTGCACTTTCCAAACTAGGGGTAAATCAAAATGCAATGGGTTTACTAATAAAACGATTTTTTNTTTTTTCTGGGTTGCGAGGTTGTCGATATTTGTATTTTTTGCACCTTATTTGTGCTCGACGTTAACGCTTGTACAGGGTGTCCCAAAATCATGGGAGCCTAGCAACGTAATAAAGCTTCTAAGCTAAAAATAATAATGGAATCTACATTTATGCAGTTTTCCTTGCTTTCTAGGACTTCAAAGTAGAGTTGCAAACCCGACAGGTCCTTTCCTAATGAGGGACCACGCGGAAGAGTCAAGTGGGTTAAGATATAAAAAACCGAATGGACATCCCTCTTCGACATGAAGTTGAGCAGCTAACGTCAGCACCATACCCAAGCGAGCTCGGCTCTGTGTGCTGGAGTACTGCCTTAGTGAAAGAATTGTGAGCTGTTTGAGGGACTGGAGCCTGGTCACTGCTTCATTACGCTCGTCATTATGCTCTTTTGTCATTATTCTCATGCATGGAAGGACAGAAGTCACTGAAGGGGTTCGGCAGGCATCGGTAGACATAAAGGAATCAGACACGAAAGTCACGGCCATTTCAAAAATCTCAAAGGTCCCACAGCAGACGATTTCTTCGACCAATCAACGCCATCAGGTCAGGAATTCTGTGCAGTGCTGAGTGAACAAGAAGACTGCGATGTACTTCAGCAGGCTAGGATAGAAGGATCATGCTTCGCTAGACGGCTGACCCTCGCCTCATTGCGCCTGACATTCCCGCTGAGTTCANNTCAATCTAAGAGTGCCAAAGCGCTTCCGTTAAGAATTTTACTGACGTATCCGAAGCGTATTATGACAATACGATGGCTTGCGGTGGCTAGCCGAAGTGCAAATCTGTGACTTTATCCTCCCACACGACTGTGGTACCCACTAACTGACCCCGGAGGAATGGAAGGTTTTATCGGCTTAGGCGGATATCGATCAGGGATTCGGTTCTTTGGCCAGGTTTGGATTCGGGATTCGATCCCTGGACTATGCTTGTGCGATAGTGCGCCACGTGCCGCTATAGCACCTCCGCCTGTGGGAATGCTTTAGAGGCGGAATTATTATTGGTAAAACATCCTCTATTAGGCTTACAGTCAATTAGCTGCTTGCTTATGGTGTATTTAGGGTGGTATTCTTCACAACAGTTTATCACTCATTTACTGCTTTTTAATTGAGCCAGAACATAAACTTGATAGTATGCTGGTAACCCATACACCCACTGATGATCATGATGGATGACCTAGTGCAATTGCAGATGACCTAAGCCTGCAGCGAGCCATTGGTCGTCAATAACGCTCTCCCTTAGCAACGGGCTGCAACCCACGTGGTTTCTGCGCAGGTAGCAGTGATGCTCTATTCGTGGCTATTGCTCCTCATTCTCCCTTCCCCAAGTCACGCTGCTGAACAAACTTGCCATGATTCAGTGCTCTTCCACCATGGGGAGTCGATCTTGCCATCTACAGACCTCTTTTGTGTCATCCGGTCTAATCGTAAGTTGCTCACGTCATTTCTTGCTCCTTAGAGCTTTTCAGAAAATTGATAAATAGTACTGAAAATTTGTAAGGTAATCCGGGCTTTTTCAGATCGAGTTACAACCCTTTGTCAATAATATTATTTTTAGGAACACCCTTCATTCTTGAGTTCCAGTAGTAGATGGTCGTACCATGAATAATACATGCCTTTGTCTGGCGGTATCAAGCATATACCATTCTTTTTTTCTGCTGTTTCAAGCCCGACAAAACTATCGCGTTTTCGCATAAGAAAAATTGTTAAGTAAGGGTGGCGGAAGACCTCTCCGAACTCCCCTTCGGCCAGCGACAGTGGTTCCGCGGCGACTTCCGTATCTTTTACGTGGGAATTCAAATCTTTCCCCTCGTAGCGTGCGATCGAGTGCGGCGAACGCGACCCACCGTTCGGGGAGAAGATACCAGATCTGTCAAGCGGAGGAGGGCCACCTCGCATAGGCAAATTTTGAAAGAGCCATTCAAATGGATGTCCGATTGGAAATGGTTAAGGATGAGGGAGGGAATGGGCGGAGCGAAAATTAGGTCATTGATGAGACTTATTGTTAGTTGCTTTTTGTCGATCCTGATGGAGAATGAAACGAGGACACCATGACAGAAATGGCATGGGACTTGCGTTTGGACGAAAATTCATTTGTTACAATTGTGATGCAATTGCGAGAAGAGCTGATTACATCCAGCTAGAACTGTCCAGAATTTCCTTTCACTGTCGCTATGGGTCATGACAAATTGATCGAATTTCCGACATACGAGCGATCTGTGAATGGCGCAGGATCTACAATGCCGTCCGAGGATACATACGGGGCAATCTTTGAGCCTTTATAACGTCATTTCTAGACCGTTTATAGCGCCACATATAATATACGAGGAGGCCACGGATTCAACCTAGTGGGATATCTCAGGAACCATTTTTATCATGCTCTGTGCCTTCAGTAATAAGGGGCGCGTACATCAATAACGAGTGATACTATGTGTAATGGTGGACATACTGGAGGCTAAGTTCGGCAATCGTTGCTGAAACGGTCCGTGGTGCATCCAACAATACAGTGCTCCAATTCATAGACCACGTCAAGAAGGGTGCCTACACATTCTGCCCCTCTTCATCGTCATCGAAGAATGACCGTTTTATTCCCTAAATTCTAACCTACTCGACTCTTCAGTGCGGTTCATCGACAAGATCTTTTGGGCCAGTCACACTGATAATGAGTCATTGAAAGACCAGTTTTGGGAGAACTGGATAGGTGATTTCTATGAATGTGCAACGGCTGAGGTGTTCAAGAATAGCCGTCAGAATTGTGTTCGTACCAGAGCTACCCATAACTTCCTCATAACTCATGTTCGTGCTGAGATTCGGGATTCGGTCGCTGCATTTTATTGTATATGACGTGGGTTAAGTAAAAAAAAAAAACGTTTTTCCGTTTGTGAGTTTTCAAGACATTACAATCAAGATACCTNTGTAAGTTTGGGAAGCCCTGCATTTCGATGGGCCACATTTCTACCGATGGTGGTATTTCTCCTCGAACCCCTGCGGGGAGCGGCAGTGATCATCGCACCGCCCCACTGGAAACTCAAATCTTACCTCTCATGGCGCGTGACTAACCGTGATCGGGTGCGGCCGTTCGGGGAAAAAGCGCCACCCCCTTCCGCATAACATGACAGTAGCTATAAGCGCCAATATTATTGTTTCTTTCTTTCTCAGTCGTTGAGGAGTTTTGTGTTAGTACAAGAAAACAAAACTTAAAAAAAAACTTACACTTACTCCAACTTGATTAACCTCATCACAATATAATATTTTAGAGGAACAATCGGATGAGAAAGTTCCAATTATTCAAACTGAGGAGCAATGGCTTGAATTCGTTTCGGAGAATCCTTCTATGGACTACGAGGTAGTGAGTCATATATACTACTAAATTCTCAATCCTAACCTTCTTTCAAGGACCACAGCGAGTCATCTCCTCCAGTACTCCTCACAAGAAAAGATGACCACTTGACGGAATTCCTTATTCCAGCCTCGTTTTTCGGTTCTAAATGCACTGCCACACAGGAAGTTGGTATGTTCCTTGCCAAGTGCCCTCTCGACAAGTACAGATGAACCATTCCAGTTCTTGGCTTTTCCCAATCCACTGCTTGTACTCCTGAGTTCACGTCTTTCTCGGAGTCCGAATGCCTATCAAACAGCTTTCTTTCTGCTCAATCACTTTTCGGGTCACCATTGGTATCGGTAAGTTGGCCTCGGTCTGTTACCCGCACACTGCTTCGATTGCTCTATCCTTGCCTATTTGTTTATTTATATTATTTATTTTTGTTCATTTATATATTCATTTATTTACACATACACTCACAGAGTGCACCCCAAACGGCAGTTATTAGACACCTAACCTAAAACTAATACAGACAAATTAAAATTTAGTCAAATCTACAGTAGCAGTCCGCTGGATTACAGATCCTGTGAGGAATAGAAGATGAAAGGAGATGGACAGTCAGGTAACCCTCCTCCGGTACTGTGCTGGCAACTGACCCCATAGGCTCAAAAAGCCAGTGCCCACACCACTTGGCCCTGATGACCCCGTTCCAGTTGGAGTCGTAGGAATCTCAGGAAGGCAGTCAAAACTAGTTGCGCCGCAAACTTCAGCTACTTGGAGTCCGAGATTCTGAAAAAAGAAAACTACAAGTGACCTTTTATGGAGAGGAAAATATTGTTTTTGTCAATAAAATTCTTACAGCTACAATAAAGTTTACTTTGGTCGCTAATTCAGCTCATTGGCAACGAGATTACTGAAACGATGTTTCGTACAAATACTACTTTAATGGCAGCGCAATGGATAGACGGTCAGTGCCGAAACGTCATCGAAGAGGTACGTTCATCATACATGGTTGACCTTTGCCAATTCACTGCTTTATTCAGGTAACAATGGAAATCACTATCAATGGAACCTTGATAGTTGATGCTGAACTGCCTTCGATCACGTATTCGACGCTGACGGCACAAAACCACACCACCTTTAGGCAGAAGTTCACCGTCGTCTTCAAAGACCACCTCGAGTCACCCCACGAGAACAAGGAGCGTGGATATCAACGTGGAGATGAAATCTATGCTATGAAGGGTACGAGTCCGATAATCTAGCGATTCCATGTTTTTCCACTCCATGGCTTGCGGTCATCAGACGTTACTGAGCACAGACAGACCCTTAAACATTCCGAATGTCTGCTCCTCAAAGAGGACCTGGCATGCTGAAATGTATAGCAAGAGCACACAACGGAGTGATTGGTTGTATCAGGGGGCTGGAATCTGCCACCGTTAAATTGCTGATACCGTTGGTTCATATTTTCTCCTGAGGTCCGAAAGAAGGTACCTCAAAATCAATTGGGACAAAAGGGACAAAAAACGAATCGCCTCGTTCTTAACAGATCGCTTTTAGAAAGTGCAATCAACCGACCAGAATAAAATTAAGAAAGCAATATAGTAAGAATAGCACAGAGCAATTAGAAGACTGAAATCTCGACATAATTGCTGTGCTACTGATTTGTTTTCCTAAACTGTTCACGAGTTCTGTATATAAGCACTAGTAGGCTGACGTTTCATCGAAATCGCCTTCTCCACGGCCTGAAAGGATCGTAACAATTCGTGACGATCCGACGAAATGCTTCCATCACCCACCAAAGTACGAGACCACCAGGGCAGATGATTGAAATGAGAACCACTCACCGTAGCTTTGTAACCACCCAGCTACCGATGGTGGCCATCTGCCAGGGTCAGCTTTGATGGATCTAACAATGATGCAGCACTGAAACATAGGGAAAAATGGTTTCGTAACTTTGTGCTTAACCGTTCGGTTAACCGCACACAGTTTGCTGATAAAATTCTTTGTCTCAAAAAAAAAACAGTGGAAAGAGATCAAATAAAACAATTCATTCCTTCCTACAACAAAAAAAACCTCACTTCACAAAATTGCCACCATGCGTTTCGCAGATTTGGAACGTGTAATAGTTTGGAAATCAGCTTTCGAAAACACCCACGACAATATAAGTTTCCTTTTGAATGGCCCCAGGAATCCTTCCCTTTATTGTTTCCCGTGCAGAAGTGAGGTCATCCTTTGCCGTAACCAAGCCTTGCTTCGTGGCTCGAGGCCGCGGACGTGGTGCAGCACAACCCAGTGACTGCTCTACCCACAGGTCCCGTATCCTGCACTGTGCTTATCCTCGGAGTTCTCTTCCGATGCTTCCTTCATTCATTCATAATTTTATGGCGTTCGAGGGGATATTGTCAGTGAAGTTCTCCTCCCACAGCATTGTATTCCATCGTAAAACCCCTGTAAGAAATGGATTTCTACCCTGGCCTTGTACTGCCGCAGGCATCGATTTCAGTTCCACTCCCTTGCCTTACTTCCATTTAGGAGAAAGAGGACCTATTGGGTTGTAACATAAGTTCGTAGAGTTTTGCGTTAGATTTATTTTACAACGAGTTGTTTTGTTTTTCAGCATACATTCATTCAAAAGAGCTCTTTCTCCTCTATGAAACTTTTTTTGTATAATTTAAATGTTCGCCTTTTTTCTGGCTAAGAAATGGAATATCCAGGAGGGAAAAATCAGCATTTTCGACATCTGCTTTTCTTCGCTTTTCATCAAGGTCGGAAAGCAGCCGAAGCCGCTCGGGACGTATTCAGCGTGTACGGAGAAGGTGTCTTAAGTGTGTCTACTGCACAAAAATGGTTCGCAAGGTTTAGAAATGGGACTTTGACCTTAGAGACACGCCTCGAAGCGGACGACCTGCAGAATGCGACGAAGAGCATCTGAAGGCACTATTTAAGGAAGATTTGATTGGTCGCCAAACAACTCCTGAGTTGGCCGAAACACCCCTAAGACACCTTCCCCGTACCCACTGCATATGTCCCGAGTGACCTCGGCTACTTTTTGACCTCGATGAAAAGCAAAGAAAAGCAGATGTCAAAAATGCTGTTTTTCCCTTTTGGATATTCCATTTCTGAGTCAGAAAAAAAGACGAACAATTGAGTTCTTCAAAAAACAAATAAGAACAGTTTTATAAAGGAGAAAGAGCTCTTTCGAATGAATGTATTCACTTTGCTAAAAAAAAACAAAGCAACTCATTGTAAAATAACTCTAAGGCAAAACTCTACGAACTTATGTTACAACCCAATACATGCCATGTATACGGGACACTAAAATGGTGTAAGGGTAAGCATAAATAGAGAGGAATCGTTATCATGCTGTCGGTTAGAAGGAGCCGGGACCGGTGGCTCCTGTCCAAGCTGTCTGATTTGCATTTTTGAAAACAGCGTGCGTGAAGGAATGTTGCGAGAATGCAAAGCTGCACTGGCCCTAAATATGACCCGTAGAACAAATGAAACCTTCTATGGTTTCATTTGTTCGACAAAAACGTCTCGGAAGATTTTTTCAACAGCTTTTTTCAGATGATCTCGACGCTCCGTTCTTGTTCTCACTGCCGCTTGCTGGGCTCTGTGAAACACACAGCAGAGTACCTATCAAATTCTTGGTTAACTCTTCATCCACTTGCACCATACGGTCAGTTGATTAATTTGAATTGAATCTTTTAGAAGTAACCCCGAGAACATGTTTTTGTCAGCTCTCATTCTCTTCGATTTTTTTCTGGTAATGCTTTTTATCGTGTGTCACACTTCCTAGACCGCAGAACTCTTACTAGGCCCAGGAAAACCACTTACTGCACTCACACCTATATTTGAGTGTTGTTTTGACCGTTTTGGAGTGCCGTTCATATCACTNGGCTCCTTTATTATCGATGCCGTCGAAGTGCATCAACATCATTAAGATAGAGTGAATAATCAAATGTTACATGTTTTAAACTCTCCACTGTCTCTCCCAGCAAGAATCCAAATACCGAAACCCCACGATTTCTTTTTACCGCTCTACCTTTTGGTGGAAATCACCATCGTCATCCTTTATGACTGCCTGAGCTCTGTTGTCAAAGAAATCTTGCCAATTTTATATGATGAGTAATTTTTTAGAGTTTCGCAATGCCAAGAGATGCAAAAAGTAGTCCAACAACTCGAAGACGAGTTTGTGCCCAAATGGGTTCGTAGTGTGCCGGATGGAATCATATCCAACGAGACCAATGCACAGGTGATTCGGAAAAATCGAACCGAGGTACAGGTCAGTGACGCTCTTCCGCCTCTTAAGACCATCTCAAAGGGAGATTCCCCGTTGTCTGTAGGACAACCTTAAAGCTGAATCAATTACAGGATTCTTCCGGCACATCTTGCTTTCTCAACACGGATTTTTTGTTTTTCATCTACTATTCTAGAGAAGGCTCAGAACGGAACCACCGGCTAGTTATTAAATCGGCGGCTTATGCGGTCAACAACAACGCGGTCAGATCTCCCAAATTTATCTTTTTCAGCTATTTCTAAGAAATTTTTGTGAAAAATCAATCGAGCCCGGTCTTTTTAGGTGTCCCTCACCGACTCGGCAATCATACGGTTCAGCGTTCAATTCAAAGACTCAACCCCACGTAAGACACACTTTTTGAAGTCTTTTCAACTGTTCGTACCCTAGCCCACCCCGTTTTGGAATTCATTTGAGAAAGTGGGGACCAAGAGGGATGGGCTGTTAATATCATCGGCCACTTCATTTCCTCTGCATCATAGCCGGCGATGATTGAGGGGATGTAAGGATGAATAAGATCGTGCAGTCCGTTTTTGACTACATTAGTCAAAACTATAAATTACAAACAAAAATATCAATTATATAGTATTTATTCGTGTCTTCACGAAATACAGTTGACACTGTAAATGTTGACACCTCGCACTTGAAAACACCCTCCAAAAGGATCAAATGAGGTTCGATTGCCATTTGATTGGCATTTCTCGGAATTTCCAGGAAAACGTTTTGCGTTGCACTGGAAGTGGATAGTTCTGCGACGGTATTTTACTGGGGCACCAACCCCTTTGCAGAAGCGGAGTCGGTACTTCTCTAACAATGTGGCGACTACTGGAGAGTCCTGTCGATTTGAAAGCTGCTCAGTCCCCATTCCTTTAGGAAATTCAGTCTTCGACAGAGTCACGGATCACAACTCTCGTCAAAGCCTAAGACATTTCTTGATTCCACTTCTCTTATGCAGTGCCGTAGAGTTAATTTTTATGAAATCGCTAGAGTGCAATCCACGGAAGCGATGAAACCAACGCAAAATGTCATCACGAATCTAATGACCAAGCCGGCGTCCCTATGCGTTTTGGCACTGTTTTCTCCATGAGTGTAACTACGAACAATTTACAACGACAATTACGAGTTTAACGGAGTTGAGTAACAGCAGGCAGCAGTGCTGCTCCAATTTGGGAGGTAGAGCCCGGGAATGAGAATCGCTCGTGGTTTCTTAACTGCGATTGTGCCACTCGTCAGGTGGCTAGTTCGGGTCCTGGTTAATCACTATGCCCCTACTCCACCCACTTCCCTACCCTCATTCAGCTGATACTTCGCAGAATCGTGAAGGTGGTTTTTGAGGCAAACTATTAAGAGCCCTCCCCGAAGAAAACTTCTTTTTAATCTCAGTAGAATGCGATGCGGTTGAAGATTGCCAAAACTACTCTCATTCAGCCATTTCGTCGCGCTTCGCCGCCCTTCCTCACATCGACTTACGGCTACCTAATGACTTCTTCTATCCATTCCTGGAGAGATCAACAGCTTTTTCAGCTTCACCTCACACCAGTGTGATTCTTGCATTGATTCTCCTCTTCACTCAACATCCTATGTTGTTACAATTTTTGTAGTCGCTTTGATCTTTATTAATAAATTATATTACTACAAAGAAAAGTGAGGTTCAAGATGTGATCAACATCTGGAAAGACGTCCCTAAACAGGACAAAATGTCAAAAAAAAAGGTTTGCGCCACCAACAACAAAGTGAACGAAAAAGTGCAAAAATGAAAATTGAACGAACAGACAAACACCGTGAGAAAATGCACAGAATTGAGAAATTATGCAGGAGGATCAGATCCGATGAGAGTAGTCTATGATGCAGTACGAGTGTGGGAGTGTGAGTTGCTGCAGTGAGTGGTGCGAAAGCGGTGGGAGACCAAGAGGTGATAAGGATTTAAAAGGGCAGAATTCACGAAAAAAAAGGCTCAACGTAAAGGAAAGCGTGTGCACGGCAGTGCGAGAGCATACCTAGGTCATGGTCAGAAAATAAAACGACAGCAGCGATTCCTATAATGTTTTGGAAACAAATGACTAGTAAGATTTCTATCATTGGAAGGATTTGAGAGCAGAATTATGCCCAAATTCCTTCGGCGTCATCAAGCTCTCCAGACATAGCCATCACATCACCTGAGGGAATAAGAAAATAACGTATATAACACTTGGAAATCAAAAGAAACTGAAATCAAAGTATATAATACCTTGTCGAGGGCTTGGCTGTGATATGAAAGGAGTGGGACCCCCAACGGCGACCGTTGCAGCGCCAGGCTGAACCACGCTGGCAGCACTGTCAGGCCGAACAACCATTGCGCGCCTGGAACACTTATTTGTTTATGAAAACACCCTTGAGAGCAAAAAACGCGTATTGAAGTTAAGGAACCAATAATTCCTATCTGAAAGCTTATCAACTCTTGTCAGTTGCCATCAATTCCTACAACCCACCTTCCCACCACGTACTGCAGAACACAGAGTTTGCAAATTGTAGGATTCCATCGTTCTTACATTTATGGTTGTTTATGACTTAACATAAATACGTTACCCAGATCCCTTCCTAAGGAGTAATGAATCGAGAGAACTTCGTTCATCGAGACTTTCACTCGATTCTATACTCATAGGAGAAATCAGCAAAAGGGCACTGCTAACCTCAGGTAAGGAAAAAAGCGGGGGCTGGGCTCCAGAAAAAAAAATCAGTTAGGATCGAATTGAAAAAACAGGTCTACTTTGGATAAACTTTTTTGCAAAACTAAAACATAAACATACCGTTCGTTCTCCTGCTTCAATTTCCGCATCAGGGAATCTTTGTGCCTACGAACTGTGTCGATCTCTTCACGAGGTGCGCGAGACTTTTCCAAAAGGGCCAAATGCGCGTCCTTTTCTGCGATGGCAGCCATAAGAGCTTCTTGTCTAAAAACTTGCAACTTTTCTGTTTACTCGAGGAAAAAAAACATTCAACGAGCGCACTTCAGCTGTAACAGTTGCTCGATGTGTTGTCGCCGTTCGGCTTCGAGTGCTCTCATCAACTGTTCGCGGTCACCCGTGCTTCCCTCTGCTACTCGCTTTCTCAATTCTGCGTTTTCACGTCGAGCGTCACTCAACTGCAAACAGTACCAATTAAATATAGTACCACGGGTTACGGCAAAAGCTTTTTATCACCTGTTGGTTCACTTGATGAAGAATGTGCTTCTGCTGGGAAAGGTGAACTTCTCGTTCAGCTGTGATGCTTACTGATTCCCTCAGTGCTTCTTCCAGTTCCTCGATTCTAAATTAACATGCTTGGAAAGCTCGAAGTCACCGAAAGCCTGATTGTTACCTTTTCTTTGCTTGGGCACTAATACCTCCAGGAAGAAGACTGCCGGGTACTACAGTTGTAATGTCGCCCTGGAACACCAGCCTTTCATATTAGCCATTTTGGTTGATTGATAACAGAATGCTGCAGAAGGACACCTTACCTTAGTCAAGGTACCACTGCTTGCTTCAGTTCCACCTCGATCAATTGCGTTTTGCAACTGCTTGCACTGTGAACTGAGTTGTGTATTCTCTTTCTCCAGCTGGCGAACTATTTTCAGTAATTTGTCTATTTCCCCTCGGGCTGATTCTACCTGAAACATCGATCACTGAAATGTGTTTTAACTTGGTTCTTGAAATTCAGCTACGATGTTCGACGCCTTTTCTCTCTAACTGCCTGGTCGAGCGATCTTACGCATTAGTAGACACCCATACCCCTTACTCGATTCTTTTAAACTGAGCAAGTAATTTCTTTTTTCACCTACTGTATCATCATACTGCCTACTTCGTCAGTATTTGAGCATAAAAAGATAAAGAACAAAATCTCTGGTCCCTAATAAAGCAAATTTTTGAGACGCGCCATCCACACGACTTCCATTCAGAATCGTTGTGGGGGTTTCAATGCGTATTTGGCCCATACAATGACTGTAGTGGCCAAATAACGTAGAAGTCAGTGCTTTCGACTCCTCACAATCAGACAAGTCTGGTGCCGATTAGCCTAATCCGAAGGAATGGAAGGCTCGGTTGACCTGGAGAGTACCGAAACGGGATTCGTACTCTAGACCAGTGTGATAGCGCGTCACTGGCAACTACAGCCCCTCACCCAAAAAATTAAGCATGAGATGTGTTAAACTGACCTCGCGATGAAGCTCTTCAGCACCCTTATCTGTTATTGCTGTCTGTAGCCGTTGCTTAGAGGTGGCAAGTTCACGATCCATATCACCGATCTGAAAGGAAAACAGAATAGATGTTCTCACAACGAATCATAAGCAAGACGCACCTTCTCATTCTGCGACTCCAATAAAACATCACGATCAGCAAGTTCTTTTTGCAAATTTTCTACGTTGCACCTTAGTTGTCGTAACTATAAAGAATTACAAGTTATGGCTTTATTTTTTAAGTCGCTCAAAGGTTAAGAGACTAGACTACTGAGAAAGCAAACAAACTACGAACAAAAATGGCAAAAAAACGCCGTCCTCACCTCAGCCTGATAGGTCTCTTGCTGCTCCAAACGCTCTTTTTCAGAGTTCCTTCTTAACTGATCGATGTGATCTTGCAGACGTTTCTTTTCCAGTGTCACTAAATAGAATAAATCTCCAATTAAAAAGGATCTGGGGATATACGAAGAAAACTATACTTGATTCGATCTTGTCCTTCATCTCCTTTTCTTTAATTACATCAGGATGACTGAGTAGACGAATCTGAAAACAAAATGAAGATTCGACGGTCCGTAAACAATTTATTAGATCAACCTTCAAAGGAAGACCACTACAGAGCTCGAGTTGTAAAAAAAATCGAAAGTTACTAACCTTAGCCTTGTCCAACTCAGCCTCTTTATCTCTCAGAGACGTTTCCAAGCCATCAATACGCCCCATCATCTGAGATGTTCTGTGATCAGACTGTTGGATCTGTAAGAAAACTATTTTTTTCAAGGCTTAGCACACATACAAATAGTAGGAGATCTAATAGATCAAGCACAGCTTCAACATGAACGAAGTGTGCGCGAGGAACCGAAACCAATCTTTTGAGTTTGGAAGGAAGAAAACAGAGGTGAAAAAAAAAAGTGCACTGCGCCTGAATATCAACATAAACATCCTTGGTTCTGAACGAATGAACTCACTTGTTCATTTTTCTCGATCACTTCTCCTTTTGCGGCTGCTAATTCCTTCTCGAGGCGCTCTATTCGTTGATCACGTTGCTCCATTTGTTGATTTTTACCCTCTAGCTTTTGTCTCAAAGCGTCGACCTAAAAGTGAATAGGGTAAACAAATCTGCGGCTCTGCGTGACTCGAATTGGTTAATTGATGTTAAGATGCCATTACGCGAAGTATCGTTCCAATAACACTACTGGAGTGGACCTAACGACATTTGTTTGCTCTTACAACCAGTTGCGATGCTATGCGAAATCAGTACAATGGTTACAAAGGAATCAATCTCGCTCATGTATGCACTCTTCTTTGATGATCGTATGCGAAAAAATCATCCTTCTCTCTAAACCGACAGTCCGAAGTGAAAGATAATTGCATGTACCGAATCCTAAAATGTTCTCATACCTACTATAAATTGGATAAGTAAACAACAACTTCAAAAACTGTTAAATACAAAACAAGTAAATAAAAATAATAACAAAATGAAACTCAGAAAATGTAGGGAAATGTGAAGCATCAAAACATACGTCGCCCTGTAAGAGTGTATGTTGCTGTTCACGATTAGTAATTTGCTCCTTCAGCAGCTGTACATGTTGCCGTAGATCAGCTGCCTGCTCTTCTGCATGCCTCATTCTTGTCTGACATTGGGCAAGCTCAGCCTTTCTTTCACTCAGCTCAACTTCTGACCTCTCCATTTTCATACGGAGGGTGACCTGAAGAAGGTGAGCTCATAAATCCCAGTTGAGCACACTTCGGTGGCAAAACAGTATTCGATCATCCCCACCATCTCGTGACTTGTAATGCTTTTGTCGGTGAAATCACGAGGTTGTCCTGCACGACTTAGTCGCAGTCTGGACACCTCCTCTTGAAGTTCAGTTATACGGGCTTGCTGAAATTAAACATATTCATCGCTCCAGAA